GGGGGGGGGGGAAGAGGAGAACAAAGGGCCTGACATTCAGAAGTTCCGCAGACCACATTCACTCGAGGATCGGAAATTTTTCGGGCGAATTTAATGAGGTCAATTGTTTTATTGTTGCGGAGAGGGCTAATTCTTTTTTCAGTGAAAAACCTTTTTTCGATTGAATTGTTCATGCGCGGGGGGTGGGGAGAGCTTGAGTGGGTGATTTTTGGGGGACTCGGAGGCCGTAATTCAAAATCTTTGATACGAATGGGTAATGGTATATTGGGTAGTCGGACAGTTTCTCCCCGGGCAAAATTTCCCGGGCAAAATCTCCCTGAAAAAAAATTCCCCGGACAAAATCTCCCTGAAAAAAAATTCCCCGGACAAAATCTCCCTGAAAAAAAAATTCCCCGGGGAAAATCTCCCCGTCCTACTAAATTCTTTGTCCTGATGATTTGTTGTGAATAATTGGTGTTGCAAGAGATTTATGCTCATGACTTTGCTAATGCGATTATGCGATTTGACGGTGTGGCTTAGGAGAAATGTATTAATAATTCCCAAGTTTTTATTGTTATGTGTTCCCTATCATTTCTATTACCTTTGTTCCTTTGTAATTTCACTGAGGCTAAAGACTCGATAATTTCATGTGTCCTATTGTGCGATTCAGTAATAAAAATCCCTTTAATTGAGCATTATCATTATATTTATTTTGGCCGGATCCGGTTTCCTAATCGCAAATTCCTTTTTCAGGAAGATTTTGTCCGGGGAAATTCTTTTTCGGAAAGATTTTGTCCGAGAAATTTTGTCCGGGGAAAAACTGTCCTAGAATCATATATTGTGTTACTAGTGCGTAAAGATCCACTTTTGCGCACGCACGTGTAACACATCCTATTCAATCTACACTGAGAGAAAAAAATTCTAGTATCCAAAACATATTTTCTTGAGACAAGTAATTTTTCTTCATTTGCCCTATTCTATCAGACATCTCAAATCATGTTGTCCGAGAAAGGTCTCATGCTTTAAAATATTCTTGTACTCAAGTATGATTTTGTCGCAAATGAACTCACTCAAATCGCGTAGAAGAATCGCCAATCGTCAAGTATTTATTGTTTTCATAATTTTTTTGTTATGCAATTCCACTATTTCGATATGTAATATATTCATGATATAGTGCGCACCGATAGTGGTAAATAGGAATTCATTTGAGTTCCGTGAATCACAAACATTCTGAGATTTACTGAAAGGAGAGAAATGTTCAGTAAAAATTACGGAACTCACAATTCACTCACCGATTACGGAATTGATTCAGAAAATTTAAGTGACAGTATCGTAATTTTTCACAGGAGATTCAGCCAAAAATTACGGTACCCTGTGGCAAATTCCGTGATTTTGGGTGAAAATTACGTGACAGGTCCGTGACAATTCCGTGAAAAGATATGCGGAGAGAAATTTTTGATAAAAATTATCCTACCGTTCTATAAAAGTGTATCATAAGTCATCGTTTCCTCATTTCTATCCCGAAATTTAGTAAAAATTAATATATGGTGATCAAATTTTATTCTACGTTAGAGAAATTTTATTCTGATAAAAATAAAAATTGCCGTGCCGGTAGAATAAAAATTACTGTACTGGTAGGGTAAAATTTACCAACCGTTCTAGAATTTTCGTTGATATTTATATAAAAACTATTGGACTGGAAGGGTAAAATTTATTATGCGTCAGGATTAAATTTTTCTAACGTAGAATAAAATTTGATAATTATATATTAATTTTTACTAAATATCCGGATAGAAATGAGGAAACGATGGCTCATGCTACACTTTTATACAACTGTAGGATAATTTTTCCCAAAAATTTCTCTCCGGGTAAGTCATTTTTATTGTGTACTAGGGGGCTTCGCCCCCTGCTCGCTCCGCTCGCCAACCCGGGGGGCTTTGCCCCCCCCCACTCGCTTCGCTCGTCCCTCCCCCCGTCCGTGTGACCGCAGCAGTGTGACCGTACCCATAAACATCTTCCATATGAGCACTCCCTAATATAGTAATCCTCCATAAATATCGATATCCCCTTTATGACCACCACCTCATATAGACATCTCTTATAAATACACGCACCTCCTCGTATAGGCACCCAGCGTCCCCTGAAGTAAAACGTCCCCTGAATTTAAGCGTCCCCTGAACTTGAGTGTCCCCTGAATTTTTCGCCTTATTTTTTTATTTATATAGAGAGAATAGAGAGATTTCTCTCCGTGCATCGTTATCATCGCCGATGAACAATGCTCAACACTCAATTATTCCTTCTCATTGCAGGGGTGAGCACAAGATCGCATTCCCTAGTGCGAAGATTCGGCGGCATATACCCGGGGCCCTATTTCGACGAGAATAGCCCGAAGAATTGCACCGCTCAATTGGGAACAAACGCCTTCTTGCCCTGCAAAGTCCGCCAGCTGGGAAACAAGTCGGTGAGTTGAGAAGTATCATAAATATACTCTATCAATATCCCCACACTTGCCACTTGTCACCGGATTTCCTTCGCGATGTCACGTTTCCCCCCGGAAAATTGCGTCTTTTTCATGCCGTCACAGCCCTTCCTTCCATTATCACACGCTATATTTCCTATTTTTATCAACTTCAACAGTCTCTCAACATCCGCCTCACGTTTGTGAGATAAATCTTCAAAGTTGGGATGTTTTAATTAAAAGGACTCCAACTGTAAAAATTAAGTGAAGGAGTATGAAGTGAAAAAAATAATGATACGGAAAAAAACTTGAGTAAATGTCGTGCAGACATGAGTGAAGAAATATTTCTTTCGTCGTGAAAATTAAATTGATGAATCAAATTGATGCATTAAATAAAAATTAAATGAACAAATATGAAGTGAAAAACACAATACGTTGAAAAAAATTAAACAAATGGCGATATCTCGAAAACGGGACGTCGTGCAGACACGAGTAAAAAACCATTTCTGTTGTTATAAAAATTTCTGAATTTTGTATGCGACATGTCTTGATGATTTCTCAACGGTTATCGCGATATTTCAGGTCGCAGTGACATTTCACGATTTTTGAAATGAAATACTGAAATTTTTGAAATACATAATTCTGATAATGCAAACCGAGAAATACAGAGGAATGAATCAAATTGATGAATTAAGTAAATATTAAATGAACAAATATGAAGTGAAAAACACAATACGTAAAAAAAAATTAAACAAATGGCGATATCTCGAGAACGGGATGTCGTGCAGACACGAGTAAAAAACCATTTCTGTCGTTATAAAAATTTCTGAATTTTGTATGCGACATGCCTTGATGAATTCTCAACGGTTATCGCGATATTTCAGGTCGCAGTGATATTTCACGATTAACTGAAATTTTTGAAGTACATAATTCTGATAATGCAAGCCGAGAAATACAGAGGAATGAATCAAATTGATGAATTAAGTAAAAATTAAATGAACAAATATAAAGTGAAAAATACAATACGTAAAAAAAATTAAACAAATGGCGATATCTCGAGAACGGGAAGTCGTATAGACACGAGTAAAAAACCATTTCTGTCGTTATAAAAATTCCAGAATTTTGTATGCGACATGCCTTGATGATTTCTCAACGGTTATCGCGATATTTCAGGTTGCAGTGACATTTCACGATTAACTGAAATTTTTGAAGTACATAATTCTGATAATGCAAGCCGAGAAATACAGAGAAATGAAAATTAGGTATCCACTAACTTCTCGTATCTCCTTAGCACTTCTCTTTCGCCCTCGGTACAAACGACCGCCCACAATTGGGAACGTTATGGCAATTAGAAACGAAAACTTTCTGTGCATGGTGCAACGTTCACCCTTAGAAATATCGCGTGAGGCAACGAGTTGGCCCAACAGTGGAGACTGTTCTCTGTGACAACAGCTATTCCTCTAACGTAATTTAACCGTAATTTGAAACAGTTCCAAGTCAACTAATTTGTTTTACTTAATATTCAAACATTTATCATGGGAACTTTATTTCAACCCGGCACGTTCTTGACTTTTTCGGAGTAGACTTTTTGGTTTATTACATTCAGTTACGGCTGGTCTATGAATTAGATTTTAAATGTGATTATTTATGGGGAGATTTGGTCAGTTGATGGTGGGTTTGGCCTTGATTTTTTTTTTTTACTAGAAAAGGAACTCGCGCGCATACTTAAGCTAGTGGTTCATTGTATTTTTTATTCTTTCATTTTTTTTTAAATACTAAAAATTAAAAATTAATGTTATTATTATTATTATTATTATTTTTATTGAATTAATTAAATAAATAAATAAATAAATAAATGAGTCAATCGCTGACCCTCACTCTCTTAATGAAAATTTTAACGCTTAATAAATCAAAATTGGACAAATAGAACTCGAGTTATTGAAAAAAACCGGAAAAACGAAACAAAAATCATATCTCCGAACTGGGCTGCCGAAAAAATCTGAAAAAATTTGAGATATAGTTTTTCAATCTCCCTAATCGTAGAAAAAATCGCCATCAATTTCCAAGAGGGTGAGGGTCAGCGGGTGACTCATTTGGCGAGGAATACCTCATATATTCAGAAAATATCTTTTTAAGGCGGAATATAAAACAAAGATTTGTGTAATCTAGGGTTTTAAGCAAAGATTATCCTTGTTCCTAGGGTTAATCCTAGTGTTATCTCTGGAGAAATAGATTGCTGACAGAAAAGGTGACACCAAGTGTTTAATATATATTTTTTTATATTTTCTTAAAGGATTCTCTTCAATATATGATTCAATTATTCAATAAAGGCAGTGCTTGACAGACCTCCCCTCATTGAATTTATCGTTGAAAACGTGAACTTGTTTTATATCGAAATATCTCGAAACTGCCTGACCGCTAATCCTTAATTCTGATTGGTCAATATGTGACACGAAGTTATTCACAAAAAAAATACGCGGCATTTTCAAATTCTTCAGTGGTAATTTTTTTTTCACGTCATATATATAATATATATATTTCACATGTATATATATCATCGGTGAAATTAATAAAATCTGTCCTTTATGGAGACCGATTATTTTAAAAAACTGAAGATAATTAATTGAAAATGAAAAATTCTTTATAGATTCTTTCACTCTACTTCGCTATTCACTTCAATCAATAGTCGAATTCTCTTTGATTCATTATTAATATTTGTAAAGTATTCATGAGAATACGAAATTCAATGAATTCCATTTCTTCATTTCAACAAATGAATAGATCAGCGCGCGCGAGAGCGCGCGCATAGATCTTGTACACAAAAGAGAAAGAAACTTTCGGCCTATTTGTGGTGCATTGTTCTACGTATGCCCATTTACGTGTGATATTTTGACGTGGATACGTCTATGGTTTCAATATGGGGGGCCATTTTGGGAAACGGCCCTTATGTGCAGGGCCATCTAGCGGAAGTCTAAAAAATTCTAGATATTTCGAGGTAATTCGAGAAGTTTCGTGAAATTTCAAAAAAAATTCAAGGACTTTCCAGAAGTTTCGAGAAAATTCAGGGAGTTTCTAGAAAATTCGAGAGAATTCAAGGAGTTTCCAGAAAATTCGAGGGAGTGCAAGAAGTTTTACCATGGACGTATCCACGTACAATTTTTTATTTTTTTTATTTTTTATATTCCGGTTCTTTCTGCCCTCTGATTGGCTAATCGGCCCTATCCAACCCTATACATGCGGCTGTGGGTTCTACACTGCACCGCATTCACACTTCTATAGAACATAGGAGTAGCATGGGAAACCACAGAAAACCCATGCCGGTACAGGCGGTCACTATATTAGCGACTTCCCGCTCGCCGGAGCCTCCGGTTGAAAAACTCGGTTCCACGGGGAATCGAACTCACAACCTTTCGCACACTAGGCTCGCACCTAGCCGCTTCGGCCACCGACGTCGGTCCACGTACAATTACAGCTGTATCAAAGATATAGCCGCCTGCAATTTTTTTTAGTTAAAATTTCCCTCCATATCTAGAGGTGCCTCAGTCCCCTGCACCTCCTCATGCATCAGCTCAGCTGAGCTCAGCTGGTGATGAGTGACTCGAAGTGATTGAAGACAATCACACTAATCACACAATTTAGCTTTGTTAACCATTCTTGCTTCATGGTTTTTCCCACCGGGGAATTCACCTAGATTCTAATCTGACTTTCAGAACTAGATGAGGGGGTGCGGCGGTGAGGGGATGCAGCGGTAATGAAATGTCGTTCGTGTCACTGCCGTAAACTCAGTGACACAAATGCCGCACTAGCCATAAACGACGGCTCAATTACGCTAATTGCTTCCGGCTGGTTGATAAATACTCTCTCTCAGGGTAATTGGGACAAATTCAGGGGCAATTCGTTGGTCGACAATTCGATTGGTCAGTTTTTGAGTTTTATCTCGGGGGACGAAAGGTTTTAATGAAGATTGATGATGAATTCAGTAGCGAAGAGGTAAAATGGTTTAAGTCGACTCATCTCCCAGTTGAGTTTTTGGAGAATATTTCCGAGTCTAAGGGAGATAGCGAAATTTTCGTAATTACATTTGTTGTGGCTCTCAATCGGCTCTACAAAAAACGTTATTATAAAAATTTCGCTATCTCCCTTAGATTCCGACATATTCATTGAAAACTGGTTAGTAGTCAAAAAGGACTTGAACCGTTTTACCACTTCGCTACTGAAACGTGAAAATTATTGATAATTTAATTGAATATTTATCAGAAATTTTTCATCATCTACTGTTTTTCAATACCGAACCAACTTAAAAATAATGTCATTCGATTTTTAATGGGCAATTAATTTTTTCGCATAAAAAATTCATCAATATTTGACTTAAATCAAAATTCTTCTGCTCCACATCTCAAGCATATTAACCTTCACGAGCTCATCATCCCCATTAATCACTTCATTACCAAAAACCAACCAGAGAAATTCAATTTCCGAATTATCGAATCCGTTGAAACATTAGAGCCCCAACGAAGCTATTGAATACCCTTTTACTCAATTTAATTGAAAGAAGATGTCTAATGGATTGGAATAAAGGGATAATGGATTTATTCAGTTTTCCCCCCAGCATCTCTGCATATTTTATGACCCAGGAGAACAAAGGAGCCCTAGGGAGAATAATGAAAACACCAGAACGTCTTTCAGCTCTGAATTTCTTATGAAACATTTTCTGCTGACTTCAAAAAAAATTCCTTTTTTGTAGCCTTCAATTCGCCTTACAAAAAAGATTATAGTGAAAATTTCGTTATCTCCCTTAGATTCGGAGATATTCCTCGAAAACTCAGCTAATGGCTGAATCGATTTAAACCCTTTTACCGCTTCGCTACTGATTTGATCAATCAAATTGGCATTTAAATTCAGTAGCGAAGCGGTAAACCGGGTTAAGTCTATTTCGACCTTTGAGTTTTTGACGAATATCTCGGAACCTAAAAGAGATAGAAAAATTTTTGTCATGACCTTTTTTGTAGAACCAATTGAGGGTTATAAAAAAGGTTATGAGAAAAATTTTGCTGTGTCTCTTAGATTCCAAGATATTCATCAAAAATTGACCAAAAGTCAAAATCGACTTGACCCGGTTTACCGCTTTGCTACTGAATTTGATCGTGCGTTATTTTTTATCAAATTAAAGGATTAATCAACCTGAAACATTCCCTTTTCGCATTCATCATTCTCGAGATAAATAAAAAAAAAAGTTAATTGTAATATTTTGCAATTTTTTAATGGAAATTCACTTTTTCATTAATTAAAAAAAAATTGTTTCTTCGTAATTCTGATGCAAAAATGTCAACTTTGCGTTAAATGTTAACTTTACATTAACTTGGCACAAAATTTCGAATGAATGTTCATCAATCTGATAAAGCATAGAATTCAATTGTTGAAAAAATTTAATTTTATCTTTGATTCCAAAAATTGAATCAATTTTCATTTAAAAAATTTTAAGAATACAGTTGGTAGAATGCCACTTTGTTGGGAGATTGACGAAATAAGGCTCGCTTGGAACCGTTAATCGACAAATCGATGATTAATTGCAGGTATCATGGATCCGACGTAGAGACGCCCACATTCTGTCAGTAGACAGGATAATGTTCATCGCCGATGAGAGATTTCAGACGATATACGTCGACGGATCGGATACGTGGACACTACAGATCAAATATGTACAGGCGAGAGACGAGGGAGAGTACGAGTGTCAGATATCCACCGAACAGAAGATGAGCCATGTCGTGTATCTCAGTGTCATCGGTAAGGGCTCAAAAACCCATAACTATGCATTAAGTGTCAAATAAAACTATATTTTATTTTATTTTCTAACAATTTTTCCCCAATTTTTCCCACGATGAAAAATGATGAAAATAGAAAACTTAAATATTTCAATAACAAACGATTCTATCAATTTATTAAAACCCATTAATAAATTGAATACAATATATCTCAATCAATTTAAAAAAAAAAAATTTTTAACTTGAAAAAAAAAAATATTAAAACCTCAAATTGCAAATTTATGTTGACATATTTATTCAATTTTTGTAACTCAAAAATATCTTTTATTCATTATGAAATGTTTTTAAAGAATATTTTTCTGCAATAAATGATTAAAATATTCAATAGAAATTAATTCATCAATTAAATAAAGTATTTTTCAATCAACTTTAGAAGTGAAAAAAATTATTATCATCATTTTTTGTTATTAAAATCCATTATTCACTTGAATAAAATATATTTCAAGCAATTAAAAAAATTAAAAAGCACCATTTTTATATTCAAATTCGTATCTATACACATATCAATTTTTTTAAAGAATATCATCCAACAAATGATTAAACCAATCAATTCAAACCACTTCACTAATGAAATAAAGTATACTTCCATTAATTAAAAAAATGCATATCAATTAATTTATACAATGGTTAAAACATTGAAAATCGTTTGTCATTCACCAAGAAATATTGGGAAAAACAAATTTTAATTATCATCATTTTTGTTATTAAAATCCATTATTCACTTGAATAAAATATATTTCAATCCATTAAAAAAATTGAAAAGCACCATTTTTATATTCAAATTCGTATCTATACACATATCAATTTTTTTAAAGAATATCATCCAACAAATGATTGAACTATTCAATGAAAACCACTTCACTAATGAAATAAAGTATACTTCCATCAATTTAAAAAAAATCAATTAAAAAAAATGCATATCAATTAATTTATACAATGGTTAAAACATTGAAAATCGTTTGTCATTCACCCAGAAATATTGGGGAAAAAAAAATTTTAATTATCATCATTTTTGTTATTAAAATCCATTATTCACTTGAATAAAGTATATTTGAATCAATTAAAAAAATTAAAAAGCACCATTTTTATATTCAAATTCGTATCTATACACATATCAATTTTTTTAAAGAATATCATCCAACAAATGATTAAACCAATCAATTCAAACCACTTCACTAATGAAATAAAGTATACTTCCATCAATTAAAAAAAAATCAATTAAAAAAAATGCATATCAATTAATTTATACAATGGTTAAAACATTGAAAATCGTTTGTCACTCACAAAGAAATATTGGAGAAAAAAAAACATTTTAACGTAATTGTAAAAAAATATTTGCAGTGCCAAAAATTGAAATATTGGGTGACCGTGAGAGATTCGTGAGGACTGGGAGCACAGTAGTACTCCACTGTGTGATAAATCAGTCTGTCGAGGCACCGTCCTACGTGTTCTGGTATCACCGGGGCAAAAGGCTCCTGAATGATCCGTATGGTAAACTAGTCATTCATCAGCCAACGCCTACCGAGAACGGCTATGACAGTCAGCTCGTTATACACAATGCGAGACTCGAGGACACGGGAAATTATACCTGCAGTCCGAGTAATCTCGACAGTGCCAGTATCATCCTTCATGTTCTCAACGGTAATTGTTCATTTTTCATTGAGGATTGGAGACATATCCGGCCATAACTAACATTCGATGGATGGACGGGCAAACTGTTATTATCGTACACTGAGGGGAATTTTCTTTCTCCAAAACACAGGGTTTTTTGCTTCCGAGTGGAAGCATTGTGTAACTGAAATAATAATCTCTCTATATTATAAAAATCCAAATCGACTTGTGGTGATGAAAATTTGGCACTCAAAATTGACCCTCTGAGGTGAATGGGCGTTTCCCACTCCTGCACTTTCCGTAAGGATTGCCCGTCCCCACTCAGGCCGACTTTCACCGTAGAGGGTTAAGACTCCAAAATTAAGGGTCACAAGGGTCAAAATATGGGTCACGACGGTTATGATGAAGGGCAGATCAAGGATCCAAATAAGGGTCATAAGGGTCGGATTAAGGATCACGAAGGTCAAATTAAGGATCGAAATAAGGGTCACAAGGGTCAGATTAAGGATCATAAGGGTCACAAGGGTCAAAATAAGGGTCGCGAGGGTTATGATGAGGGGCAGATCAAGGATACAAATAAGGGTCATAAGGGTCGGATTAAAGATCACGAAGGTCAAATTAAGGATCGAAATAAGGGTCACAAGGGTCAGATTAAGGATCACAAGGGTCAAAATAAGGGTCGCGAGGGTTATGATGAGGGGCAAATCAAGGATCCAAATAAGGGTCATAAGGGTCGGATTAAGGATCACGAAGGTCAAATTAAGGATCGAAATAAGGGTCACAAGGGTCAGATTAAGGATCATAAGGGTCACAAGGGTCAAAATAAGGGTCGCGAGGGTTATGATGAGGGGCAGATCAAGGATACAAATAAGGGTCATAAGGGTCGGATTAAAGATCACGAAGGTCAAATTAAGGATCGAAATAAGGGTCACAAGGGTCAGATTAAGGATCACAAGGGTCAAAATAAGGGTCGCGAGGGTTATGATGAGGGGCAAATCAAGGATCCAAATAAGGGTCATAAGGGTCGGATTAAGGATCACGAAGGTCAAATTAAGGATCGAAATAAGGGTCACAAGGGTCAGATTAAGGATCATAAGGGTCACAAGGGTCAGATTAAGGATCACAAAGATCACATTAAGGATTAAAATAAGGGTCACAAGGGTCAGAAACTAGGGATCACAAAGGTATCAGATTAAGGATCGCAAAGGTCAGATTAAGGATCCGAATAAGGGTCACAAGGGTCAGATTATGGATCACAAAGGTCAGATTGAGGATCCAAATGAAGGTCATGGGGGTCAGACTAAGGATCACAAGGGTCAAAACAAGGGTCTCTATATTATAAAAATCCAAATAGATTTCCGGTGATGAAAAATTGGTACTCGAAATTAAGACTCCAAAATTAAAGGTCAGAAATAAAGGGCAAAATAAGGGCTCACGAGAGCCAGAATGAGGGTCACGATGATCAGATTAAGGGTCGTAAGGGTCAGAATAAAGATCATGGAGGTCACATGATTTTCAACATGTAATCGCGTTTTAGTAGTGAATTGTGACGCTAATGGCGCGAGTACATTCTCTTCCCATTTTCGTCTGCATAAAAATAACAATTTTAATGGAGATTAATTTGACGCTTCACTCCTCACATAATTTTACTCACTCATTCTTTTGGATGAATAAAATCGCAAAAATTTCATCATTTCCGACCAGAAATAATTTCCAAAATGGAAAATTCTGTAACAAACTGGATGAAAGAGGGATTTCTGAATGCTAATTAGTCCGACAAATCAACAATTCGTGAAAAATGGGGATTCTAAGCCTTTATTGATAATTTTGGGGAACCAATAGCCTCATTAACCCCGTGAGTTTACATTAATCTATCTGAAATTCTATGTTCCGGACAAGTTTTTTCATAAATCTTAATATTAAAAAAATGTGAGAGATGTGTTTGAATAGTTAATTTCCTTCTTGTTCCTTCGAAAATTCACAAGGGATTTTACTCGGGCGAAAATGAGCATTGTAGCCGGTGATTTATCAGCCCGGTAATTTACAAGGATGTTATTCAGTAGGATCTCGTCCAATTTAATCGTCATTCATAATGCTAAATTGAAAAGTTCATTTCCGGGCTCAGAAAAGTTTCACTTCCCCGTTTCAGGGGGCGGTACACATCTTTCACGTTCAACGAATGTTTTAAAATGTCAGTTCAAAAGGGGATTACAGCTGCAATTTTGGGAATGGAGATTATAGTCGCAAACGAGATAAACAAAAAATTTCATTTTTCGCGAGGTGACAAGAATTTAATATCAAAATCTGATAAATCTCTGAAACTATCGGAAAGCACTAATGACCTGGGGATGAAATTGCATCATTAACTTTCATTCAACAAAAGTTGTTCCTGGCTGAAGGTTCGGTTTTCCGGAAGGATGGCCTCCTTTTAGAGTCCTGACAATTTTTTACGAGTAATTCAACAAGATTGCTATTTATTTGTTGTTTTAAAAAATTAATTTTTACGAAAATAACCATGACGATGTGGATTCAGGAGGATTCATGAGGATTCAGAATAAATTGGTAGTGTTGTCCCCATCATTGTTATGGGGAGTTGTCGTTTTGATGTATTTGCTTAAATAGAGTAAAAATTTGACATTACAATGTTCAATAAGAAGAGTTAGATGATTATATGAAATAAAATTGCCCTGATGAGGAGTGCATTTAGCACTCGAAACGTTGGCACAGGATTCAGAATAAATTGGTAGTGTTGTGCATATCATGACCGCGGTGGCACGTCAAAATATCCTTATAAAAATATCCGCGAAAAAATAGTCAGATTGAAAATATCCTCCGCAAAATTATCCGAAGCCGAATTTATCCCTGTGAAAAAAGATCCCTGGGAATAAGATCCGTCGCTTTTTTTGTATTGAATTGTATTAGCATTGAAAAAAATCATAGAAAAAGTTTTTTATGTCATTAGGCCCGATAAACCGCGATCTAACCGAGCGAAGCGAACTCGCTTCACTCGGTTAGATCGCGGTTTTCGAGCCCAACGACATAAAATAGCGTATATCACACGGGGCTCCACGGCAAAATATCACATATCAAAATATCACCGGCAAAAAATCATGCCTCAAAATATCACACACAAAAAATATCACAAACCAAAATGATCATAAACAAATTTAAAAAAAAAAATTACGAGTGTACATGAATTGAAAACAAATCAAACAATTTCTCCTAAACCCAAACAGAAAATCAATATATTGATTTATAAGGAGAGGGAAAAACCCAGCAGTGTTTACATACCGAAAATGGAATTAAATAGCCGTATTGTGGTAATGAATTATCGGAGAATGAAGAATTACACGGTCGTGTTCACACACGCGACGAAAAATCAAGAAAAACCATTGAAATATCATTGAATATATTGAAAATTAAAAAAATTAATTAATATTATTGAAAATTTAAAAATTACATGATATGATATGATATATTTTAAAAAATGATATTTATCACAAATGATATTTTCATATTATGGTATTTATCCATGTGATATTTTGCGGTGTGATATTTTGAGACTGATATTTTGCCGTGATGCCTCACACGGTGATAAAAGCATTATCTGGCGAATGTGGCTTTATAATACTTTTATCGCCTAATGACATAATATACTATTCATTTGAATTAAACAATAACAATAGATTCTAACAAAAAAGTCTGATAACATTTTTCCCTCCGAATGAAACAGATGAATCATTCGAAAATTAATTTCAGGTGAGCATCCTGCAGCGATCCAGAGAGGCATAAGTGCAGCGCCAGGTGGTTGTCGTGCCCTTTGGTGGCTAGCAGGATCCGTGAGTCTCTCCTCAAACCAGGGCAGACGGCTCTTTGTTCTCCTCGTTCTCCTATCATTGGCCCTTTTCACTTATCAGAGATCAATCCGGCTCGCCTATACCACACGATAATCATTCCCCTCCACCCCATAAATCCCGCCCGATTGAACCCTTAGAAACTCAAGGAAAAAGAGGAACAAGAAAAATAAGAGGGGTGAAAGGAAGAGAGTAATCAAGGAGAAAAAAGTCCACAATTTTCGTTGAGTTGTTATTGATGGAGGTACGTGATGAAAATTCACCTCGACACGCTCCTCCCTTTCTGGATGCTAACGACGTCGCCGAGGCTCGCTGAATGATCAATGGGAATTGGGAGCCCTAGATTCTTTTGTTTCATTGGAAATTATCGTCGAAATGCTGTTAATATGGAAAACTCCTGGCTGATTGTGTAGTTTGTGGGAGTTTTTGTGAAGGTTGAGAGAGCACTTGATGAATCGAGAGCTTCGGTCAGCTTGGGACAGAAGATCATTTTTAAAAGCGAGGGATTTTTTTTTTCCATTGTGAAGTGGCAGAAGTTTTCAATCGTCAATAGCTCCTGAAGTAATGATGCGATTTGCACGAGTCACGTCTCATTTTGAAGAATAAAAAAATACGTGGAAAATGAAGAAAAAAGCACGGAATTTCACTCTGCCGTTCCTGGGGTGTTTACGGATGAAGGCAATTCGTTTTAGTTTATGCTGTTCTCAAAAAATGCGAGAATTCACGGTTTTAAGGATTTGTTTTTTCGAAATATCTTGGAATCTGAGGGGGATGGCTGGATTGTTATCTCCATGTTTTTTGTAGCTCTTTTTCTACTCTACAAAAAAGGTTCTTATAAAAATTGCACTGTCTCTCTTAGATTTCGAGATATCGATCTTCAAAAAAAAAATCATAATTTTCCACTTCGCATGATGAGGAAAATTTCCGATCCAAAACAATTGCACCCATTTTGCCCCCGTAGTCTTCAAGTATTGAAAGAAAAATCTTTCAAATTAATTTTTTTTTCTTTCACTTATCTCGGAAGCTTATTAGCGAAAAAAGGTTAATTGTAGTGAACGGAAACGGAAATGCCTCAGACTTGAACACAGAAAAAAATTCTGCTATTTTTTTTTTTTCAAAGTCCTTTTTTGAAATTTTTGAAAATTGATTGGAAACCCAAATTTTAAAAAAGTTGAAGGGATGGAGTGATTGAAATTATCTTCTGCCACAACTCAACCACAATTTATATCTAAAAATGTCTTCACCGGCATTAGCTCTCACGAAACCACCATCACAAGTCAGCATCGATTTTGCTATTGGGCGCGCCGGGCTTCCGTTACACGCCGGGGGCATTTCAATTCCACCTACACTTCCTCGAAAAAGAGGGAAAACGAGGAAGGGATCTTTACTACTTTCAGTTTTAAACTCGAGACCCCGGACATTATCCCTGGGAATAAGTTAAAATGACTAGATTGAACAAGAAATCGTGAATACCTGAGTGGGGAAAGTTTTAATGGCTGGAAAGTTTTTTCGAAGAAATTTTTATTCGAGGAGGGAGAGGTGCTCAAAAATTTAATATAAAGTGTGTGTTCCCTGTGGGAATTATCAAATTTCTGTTATTTTTATTTTTTTATTATGAAAATCTCTCATTTTTTCTCTTGAATGAAAAATAATTTTTTGTTGCTTTTTTTGCTGGATTTTTTCAGGTGAAACAAAAAAAAGTTTTTTTTGCTTATAATTTATTTATTTAGGGGAGATCGAGGCAGAATGGAACACCAATAAACGCGATAATTGAGGACAATTGACAAAAGATTTTTTTTTTATAGTTGAGGTTTAGCTGATTTTGAGGGTCAAATGACCCTTCAGGATTCTTAGAGTTGACGATCAAATGGTCACGTAACTCGTGGGTCAAATACTTTTGAGGGTGAAACAATGACCCTTAAAGATATTTGAAACTGAGGGTCGAACATCCCCTAATAATGTTTAACATCTGTCAAATGGTCTTCGAGAGCGAACAGCCCTCACGAATATTAGACAATAAGGGTCAAACGACCCTTAAAGATGCTTTGAGATGATGGTCAAATGGTTGTGAGGGTCAAATAACCCTTAAGAACCTTGAAACTCGAGGATCAAATAGTATTGAGGGTCAAACGACCCTTAAGGGCGTTTTAGTTGAGGGTCAAATGGTCTTAAGGGTCAAACGATCCTTAAGAACTTCAAGAAATAAGAGATTCTACAACTTCTTTAAGAACTTAGAGATTCTTTAGGAAGAATTTTTTAATTTGTGCATTCGTAATTATTTATTTCCCTCGCAGAGAGGTTCGGAAAGTTGAAAGATAGCATACAGCGTCCTGTAATCGTCCTGCGTTCCATGTAATTTATACCTTAAAAACACCCAAGGATTGACCGTGTAAATAGCCCGGGGATAATGTAGAATAATCTTTAAGAAGTTTAAGGTTCTGGATCAAATGGTCTTGACCCTTGACCCTCAAAATCATTTGACCCTCAACTAAAAACAACAAAATACGAAGTTTCTCCTGGTGTTCCATTTTATTTTTTGGTTTTCCGGTTTTCGCAATTTTAATTTCATTAAAAAAAAATCTCATTTTAAACCAAAAAAAATCCTTTTTTTTTCATTATGGGAATTTTTTTTTGAAAATTACGCGATATTTCAAAGTTGATGACTTATCTGCCGATTATATCGTATATGTTAGCATTTGTCAATCAATTACATCGGTTTGTTTAACATTGCAACCCGTCAGGTAGGTCATTTATTAGGTCCCCCCCCTCCCCTCCCGCCTCGATATTTCATCGATATTAAGGGATTCGCGTGCAGAGTCTCGACGTAATCGCAGCGGGCTACTTCCCCCCCGGGTCTGATCCTGAAACGTCAGTTGATTTTTTCAACTTGTAGTACCTCTCCTCGTCTTCCGAGTGTAATTTTTCATTTTGATATTGCCCTCGCACGCGCTACTTCACATTCAATCTACTCGCCTCTGCAATTTTTTATTATTCCTGCAACGTTCGTCTTTGGTGGTTTTTTTATTATCATTTTTGCTGAATCACAAACCGGCATAATCGAGGAGTCCAGATGGAGAGATTGTGTTTCTGAATATAAAATAGAGGGGAGAAAAATGATTTATTTGAATCGAATGTTTTTTGGGTATGAATACATGAGGAATTGTGTCGATTATTTGATGAGGGGAGAGATGATTTTTATTCAGAAAATATCCCATTTAATTTGTAAATAATTTAGTCGAGAAGAGGAGGAAAAAATTAATCTCAATTTTACTCTTTTAATAATCAATTTTTGAGATATATCTGTGGTTTGTTTTTGTAGAGTATCTCGCAGTTGAAGGGAGATAAAATTTGTGTCAAGATCATGTTTGTAGCTCATAAAATTCTGAATCTCGCTATTTCCCTCAGATTCCGAGATATTTGTCTTTAAACAACTTACTCCGAACGTGAGTGAAATGAAATACATCAATTTCACAAAAACACCTCTTAATCTTCAAATATCTCGGAACGAACACTAGCTACCGCAATCTTTGTAAATTCCTTTTTTGTAGGGAATTTCATCAGCTACAAAAAAGGTTCCAATAAAAACTTCACTATCTATCTTGGAATCCGAGATATTCAGCAAAAACTAAAGCCCAATGAAATTAAACTAAAAAATCCTCAATTAATTCTATTAAAGTAAACTTTTTTTGCCCCTCATCATAAAAAATTTCTCATATTGACCCAACACCAGAGCGTAAAATGGCATTTCCATTCGCCTCAAATAAAAAATTTCCTCCCTAACACCAACAGCAACAAAAAAGCGACGAAATAAATAAAATTGCTAGTCTGCCCACTTGTAAATAAACAAGAAAACCCGATGGAAAAATACTCCTGCCCAGGGGGTCGTTTACAGAGTATAATATTTTATCGATGAAACATTTTCAAATATATACGAATGATAAAATTCACTAAATAAAAATATCATCTCTCGTTGGAGAATTGAAACTTGTTCGATCGTTATTAATAATTGACATTATAATTGTTGTAGAAGATATTAAAAAAACTATTGTAGTGTACATACTCGACGTCCTGCACCTGCTTGTCGTCTCGACTGACTAACCAATTAGCAATTAATTTAAAAAATGAACGAAATCAATTAATCAACGCTGAATTGATTAATTAATTCATGAAGAAAGAATAAACGAGGGGATAAATTATTTAAAATACGAATTAATCAGATCTTGGAGAATTTATCAGAGTCAGAGACAATAAAAATTCTCAGATATGATTAATGGCATAATTAATAAACTCGAGACGATGAGCATTAAATTGTGGTCGATGTTTCATTTATGGAATGAAATTGAGTATGTACATTCTCACACGTTGATCCTCATTATGCATTTATACACCATTGTATTGAATTAATGCCCGGAGAGGGATGAATAAACTGGTGAATATGCGTGAGAGTGGGTGTCAATGACGCCAGAGTAAATAGGGGGATGAAGTATTGAGTCGTATTCAGGTTTTTGTTTAATGGTAATTGAACAGTCCTGATTCATTAATTACGTAATACACTTGAATTTCATTATTGATATTTAGGATAATGCTGGGGGATTTGGGAGGCACAGGGTGAGGTTGTGTTTGTGGAGGGGCGTAATGAATATGAATGTTTATTTTGGGGAGGGAAATGTCCTCGATTTTATTCGGGGTTTAGTTGGAGTTAATTGTATGGAATTATCTGGGGAATGAATAGAAGGGAATATGGATTTTTTTTTCGTTTTCGGTTGAGGGTCAAATGGTTTTGAGGGTGGAGCAGCCCTTAAGGACCTTTGGGGTCGAGGGTCAAGTGATATTGAGGGTCATATGACCCTTAAAACGTTTGGGTTGAGGGTCAAACGTCCTTCAAGGGCATTTTGGGTTAAACGTCAAGTGATTTTGGGGGTCAAATGACCCTTAAGAACGTTTGGGGTTGAGGGTCAAGCGATTTTGAGGGTCAAATGGCTTTAAGGATTGAAAAGTGATCAGAAAGGGTCAATTGGCCCTTAACCTTCCACGTCTTCCAAAATTATTCGCCCCTTGAGACAAATTGACCCTCAACTCCAAACATCCTCAATGGT